TCTCTCTCTCTCTCTCTCTCTCTTTGGTTTGGCCACGCTCTTTGGTTTCAAATTTCCATTTGTAAACTTTCATGCGAGCCTACGCAACGCACGTCTTCTTCTTCTTTTTTTTTTTTTTCAAATATTATTTTGTTCGTTATTCTCTCAGCAGTTACTCTCGGATCAACTTCGAGAGAGTTAAGAACAACATCGGGAAACAAACGAAACAGAGAGATCCGTTCGTTAATATTCGACGTTAGATTCGGCATTAATTTTAATCAAGATCCCCGCTGGGAACGATGCAAACCTACGTCCTATTCATCTGGTGGATCTACGACGCCTGATCGATGTCTTTGCGGAAGTAGGAAATTAATTGCCACAGGCAGTACCTTCTGCTGCGAAGAAGCGCCAGTTGGTACACGCACGTGATCCTTTGATCACCACGAATCCAGGAATCTCGATTATATTATCGATCAACATCAACCGACACGTTGTTTTACAAGTGCGAACACTTCTCGTGGCAATTTCTTTTCCTTGTAATATCCCATTCGTACCTTATGCGTGAGGTTGATTGATATTATCGTTATTAAAATTACGAGACATGTCATAAAGTTACGTTGAAATTTAGTTCTCGCATTAATACAATTATGATCGCCAAAGTATTTGAACATTCGTAGGAATCCTTCTGTGAATATATCGTGTGCGTTATGTAAAACATAAATTAATTTCTTCTCCTCGTTATATTTTAATATTCAATTTTTGAGAAACAAATCGATTGACATTCAATTCTTGAGAAACAAATCATCTTATTTTCATAGATTCATTCGTCGCAGGACACGCATGATTCATGGTGATTTCGAAGATCTATTTCGAAAACAGTGTTCTTTGAATTTAATTTTTGAATGGTTAAAATGTATATACGATCGTTCTATGAACTGTAAGTTTTTTACATATTTCCAAAACGATTCCAAATTTTGTCAATGTAATCGCAACAGTGATTGTATCTCTCGCTGCAATGTTTAACTGCACGTAACAATTGTCCTGCGGCGTACGTTTCGATACTTTCGTGATCCATTACGCACAAAAAAAGATGGCTGATAAAAAACACACAAAAAAAAAAAGAAAGAAAGAAAGAAAAAAATATCCACCGCGTATTCTACGTACAGGCGCGTTTTAATCGGCTTAATCGATTGATTCTTAGTTGTCCGAGCAGACAGGTGGTTGGACACTAATACCGGAAAATATGCGATGCGTGTATCTCGTAGATTACGCACGCGAAGCGCGCGCGATTCGATTTAAATTAAGTCTTATTAAGGACATTGTATCGTGCAAGACCTCTAATAAATTTCATCTCGTTTGATTCGTTGTTCATTTTCAATTCTCTTTTTCGCGCGCGCGTGTCCCTGCGTGGGTTTTTTTATCTCTTACCAGACGGACGAGAGAGGGGACAGGGATGAAAACGAAAACTGCGAGAAAAGAGAGAGAAAGAGAGAAAGAGTGGTAAAAACAAGGGTGAAAGGAGGGAACGGAGGAAAGATGAAAGGGGAAACAGAGAGAGAACGAAAAATAAAAATTGTGGACGAAAAGGGGAACGAGATGAAAGGAAAAGGGAGAAAGAGCGATAAAAACGGGGGCGAAAAGAGGAACGAGAGAGAGAGAGAGAGAAAGAGCCGCGAAAGCGGAAGTTGCGTGCAGCAGTCGGCCAAGTGCGGGCAACCCGTTATGATCGTCCGCATGGCGATGGTCGGCGCGATATTTCATCGCGAATTGAGTACTTACTACGTGAGTCGAACTCAACGCAGCCACAGAGTGTCACGACGAGTCTCTCTCCTTCTCTCCCACCATTGCGTCCTCCGTACTCTATCTTCCCCTAAACCCTCATTTCTATAGCTATTCTCCTCTCTCTCTCTCTCTCTCTCTCTCTCTCCCTTTTCACAGCTCGTCCTTCCTCTTTCCATGCTTTTCCTTTCGTTCTCTTTTTCATCGTTGTCCTGCAGTGTCACCCTTCCTTCTCACCCTCTCTTTCTCTCTCGTAGCGCGAGTCTTTCTCCATCTCTTTCGGCCACGCTCTGTGCGGTGGAGTAAATCACAGAGGATTTTAATTAAACGTGTCACGCATTTCGAACCTGATATACACGTAACCATGTCCAATGGCTCCCTCGTAATATCGCGCACGCATATCGCATCGTTCATAATCACCGGATCCTCGATACCGCGACGATGAACCTGTATTTAGTGCCGCGTCTTTCGGAATTGCTTACTTGTTTTCCCTTATTGTT